ACTAGAATTACAAGTATGAGCTAACGTGTCTGGCCAAAACTCACTATTTATACCATTTTAAAGTGAATAAATCAGTCGTTTTAGTATGTTCACACAAAGTTGTATAGTTATTACTATTACTGTGTTTCCCCCAAAATAGGACCTACCCAAAAAATAAGCCCTAGCAGGATTTCTATGCATATGTGAAATATATAAGCCCTACCCCCATGATAAGACCTAGTGATAGGCGTGGCTATGCAGCATATCTGCATAGCCACACCATGCATTTCTGCACGGAGAGGGACATCCCCTGAAAATAAGCCCTAGTATGTCTTCTTGAGAAAAAATAAATACAAGACAGTGTCTTATTTTGGGGGAAACACAGTACCTAGTCCCAAACATCTTCATCACCCCAAAAGGAAACTGTGTAACCACTAAAATGCCAATTTCTACTCCCTAAATCCATTCTCCCTTTTGTGTCTATAGATATTTGCCTGTTCTGAATGTCACATGAATAGAATCATACAATATGTAGTCTTTTTTTTTTGACACAGAGTCTCACTCTGTCACCCTGGGTAGAACGCTGTGGCATCATAGCTCACAGCAACCTCAAACTCTTGGGCTCAAGCAATCCTCTTAATTCAGCCTCCTGAGTAGCTGGGACCATGGGTGCCAGCCGCAATGCCCAGCTAGTTTTCTATTTTTAGTAGAGACCAGCTCTTGCTCTTGCTCAGGCTCATCTCAAACTCCTGCGCTCAAGTAATCCACTTTCCTTGGCCTCCCAAAGTGCCAGGATTATAGGCGTGAGCCATTGTGCCAGGCCACAACATGTGGCCTTTGTGTCCAGCTTCTTGCACTGAGCGCAGGGCTGGTCCACAGTGGGACCAAATCCATCCTTTCTCATGACTGAGCAGTCTTCCACTGTGTAGATAGGCCACCCATTTGCCAGGTGTCGGGGGTGTTTCCACTTTTGACTATTGAGACTAATATGCTATGAACATTTGTGTACAAGTCTTTGTGTGTATGTACATTTTCATTTTTGGTAGATATATTTTTATTGACTTAAATTCTTCATACAGGACTTTTATGCCTCTAACTCTTTGTACCAACATACTTTTAGTACAAAGTAATTCTTCATACAGGACAAATATGCCTCTAACCAACATAATTTTTCTAAGACTTGTCAGAAAATATCAGAATCAGGAAATCCAAATGCCTCTACTGGTTGATTATAAGGTTGAGTTTTAGAGACTTTCTGTATTGGAATTTTCTTTCAAGAATAGAGAAAAATCACTCTGTTAAATATTCACAGTTCAGCTGCAGTGGTTTTCAACCTTCCTTAATGCCTACAATTATGCCTAATGTTACAAAGGGGTCACGATCCATAGGTTGAGAACTGCTGAGCTAGAGCCTTTGCTTTGCTCGCATGGAAGGTGCACCAACATTTACATGTAGGTGCTGGGAATGACCTACAAAGCAGAAGGTGTGGCCACTGTGGTCCGTGTGTCCTTGGCCAGTTGTGTTTCTCCATGGCATTCACAGTGACACCCTCAGAGACACTGTCTCTGAGGAATGTGGATGTCCAGATCATGCCTGGCCCCTGAGGCTGCCTTAGTTATGTCTCTATTTCCCAAATGTTTGGAGTCACAATGTGTCCTGTTTTCATTCTGAGAACTCTTAACATTGACCACTGATGTTGGTATTGTTTTCTGTGGAAGTCACATTGTTTCTTTAACCTGTCCATTCTCTTTGCACAGACAGCTGTGTTTAGTGGGGCTGCCTGTGGAGAGGTGGCCCCCATGGTGACATCCTCAGCATGTGGCAATGTCCTTGAGGTTTTGTTTGAGACTATCTGAGGTGAAATACAGTCCAGCCCAAAAGGGCCCCAGGTGAACAGCCCTCAAAGCTCAGTGCCAGCCTCCCATCCTGCCAAGTGCTTGTGGCAGCGGCCCAGGGAGGAGCATGTCTGCCTGGAGCCTGCCAGGCCACCCTGGGACAGGGCAGTGCACCGCAGGTGAGCTCGAAGTTTCATTTCCCGATACGATGGCAAATAGAGACTTTGCCCTTAATGGTAAGTGCAAGAAGTCACCAAGCCCTGTCTTTGATTGCTGGATAGTAACTTATCTGCAGTTTGTAGAGATGTTGTATTCAGGACCTGAGAACCATGGGTTAATCACAACAGCCAAAAGCAGCATCTCTCCCAGTGTCCATGGATAGATGAGTGGATAAGGCAAAGGTGGTCTAATTGTACAGTGGAATGCTAGCCAGCCTTAAACAGAAATGCAGCACTGACAAGGGATACAATCTGGAGGGACCTTGCAGGCATCACATTCAGTGAAAGAAGCCAGACACAGAAGGACAGATGCTGTGAGATTCCACCTACACAAGGTCCCCAGAGCCATCAAATCCACAGACACAGAAAGCAGAATGGGGGTGCCAGGTGCTGGGGAATGGGGAGGAGCTAGTGAGCTAGTGTGTAATGGGGGCAAAGCTTCAGATTGGGAAGATGAGAAAGTTCTGGAGATGGAGGGCAGTGATGGCTGCACAGAGCATCAATGTATTTTGTGCCACTGAACTGTTCACTCAAACGGTCAAGATGGTAAAAAATACTTATGAAATTGTATATTTTAAATGTGTACAGTTTATTAAATGTCAATTATACTGCTAAAGCTTTTTAAAAGAAAAAGAAGGCTAACATCTCCTGTGCTTTGCCTCTCCAAGGAGAGCACATGCTGGCTGGCAGAGTGTGCTCTGCAGGCCTGAGTGGACACAGGCACGGATTAGCCGACACCCCACGGGGAGCAGCAAGCTTTCCAATTTGACTAGTCCAGGTGAGAAATAATACCAGAGATTGCAGAGTGTTTCCAGAAAACCCACAGGTGTGAGACGAGGTGCTGGGGCAGCTCCACACACACTGCCCAGAACCAGTTCCAACACCACCTGCCCACCCGCCCATGCCCCTTTGTCCTCTGGCCACCATGAGGTCCATTGCAGGAATGGGCAAATGCCATGGATGTCAAGCGTCTAGCAGGACACCTCTGTGCTCTGAAACTTGTAGTTTTTGTCACTAGATCTAGGTGCGGTGGCTCATGGCTCATGCCTGTAATTCTAGCACTGTGGGAGGCTGAGGCTGGAGAATGCTTGAGCTCAGGAATTCAAGACCAGCCTGAGCAAAAGCAAGACCCCATCTCTACTAAAAATAGAAAGGGCAGGTGGTGGGCACCTGTAGTCCCAGCTACTGGGGAGGCTGAGGCAGGAGGATTGCTTTAGCCCAGGAGTGTAAGGTTGGGGTGAGCTAGGCTGAGGCCACCATGGCATTCTAGTCAGGCAACAAAATGAGCCTCTGCCTCAAAAAAATGTTCACTAGGGCATTTTTTCCCTCTCTCTCTTTGTAAAAATAAGGTCTGCCGTTTTGTCCCAGTTGGTTTTAGTAATTGCTTCCAAAGTCCCTGGGTGACTTCGGGCCACCCCCTTCGTATTGTGGGTTGAACTGTGTCCCCCTCCCAAATTCATATATTGAAATTCCAACCCGTAATTGAAAGTGCCCAATTTGGAAACGGAGGTCATGCCAGATGTGACTTGTTTTGACTAGGTGTAGTTGCAGAGGGATCTCTAATTCAATATGACTGGTGAAATTACCAAAGGGCAGAGATTGAAGAAATGTTTCCGCAAGCCAAGAGATGCCCGGAGAGCGCCGGGAGCAAGAGCTCCGCGAAGGTGCGTGGGTGGGCCGGGCCCAGTCCCCGCCCTCGCGGTCCCCGCCCCTCTTATCCTGCGCAGCCTCTGGAGTTCGCCTACGGCAGTCTTGGCCATGGCGTGCCGCAAGTGGCTGCTACTGGTGGTGCTGCTGCTTTCCACCACTGGTGGTCCCAGTAAGTATGGTTTGGCCGCCCGGGCAAGCCCCGGGGCAGCTCCGAGCTGTGTGCGGGCTGGGGCGTGGGGTGGGAACACGGAAACCCGGACCAGTGTGGAGCGAGTCCGCCGCCTCCGGGAGCATCCCAGTCGGACAGCATGGCGCGTCTGGGCCACTAGGCCCTGCCCGGCGGGAAGCCCCGGGGCTCCGCGCCCTGCTCGGGATTGTGGAGCCGGCTGGGAAGGTGGGCGCAGCCCCGTGAAGGTAACACGGACCCAGCCAAACCCCAGTGTCCCTTCCGGAGGAGCCCGGGGCAGGAGGTGTATGGGTTGGGGAAGCCGGCGGTGTGCGGGGCCGTGAGCGCTCGGGGCGGGAGG